ACCTCTAATTCCGGCTACTCGGAAGGCTGAGGCGGAAGGATTGCCGGAGCCCAGCAGGTCGAGGCTGCGGTGGCCAGGAGCGGCCACTCCACTCCAGTCTGGGCGACAGAGTGAGACTCCAATTCAAAAAAAATAAACTCCAACTCAAAATAAATAAATAAATAAATAATAAAAATAAAAGTTGTATTACCCAGGCAGATACTTGAGCAGGTATCTCGGGAGGAAAACCCTAGTAGAAATATGTAGTTCACACAGCAAGAACCCCCATGGAGAGGAGGAAGAGAGGAGGGGAAAGCAGCAATGGGAGGGGCGGAAGGGAGGGAGGGAGAGAGAGAGACAGAGACAGAGAGACAGAGAGAAAGAGCGATAGAGAGACAGAGACAGATAACCAAGGTTCCACCCAGAAGCATGTTCTGGGGTGGTGCCCACCCTGCCACTCCTCCCAGCTGCCTCCTCGCGGGTTCAGAAACTTCGCGGCTTCCTCTGCGCATTGTGCCACCCCCACTGCTGTTCAGAGCTGGCAGTCCCCCCCCCCCCCCCGCCAGGCGCATCTACACCAGCCAGGGGCTTCGGAGTCCCCTAACTTGTGCACTCTGGGCTCCAGCAAGCTAGGGCAGTGGGTTTCTGAGACTTCATTCCTCCAAGAGAGGAAAGTCTGGAAACTGAAGGGAGGAGTCATAAAAGGAACCTATTGACAGTGGCCTTCTGATCCAGAGCACAGATCAAAAACCCCAAAGAAAGGGAAGTGAAATTAAGCCAGGCTGAAATGCTAAATGTGGCAGCTCCTAGAGAGCCTCACCCTGGAAGCCTTGCAGAAGTGACTTTGGGCCTTTGGGGGATGCGGTGGGTCTCCTGGGCTCCTTTGTGAGCCCACCTGCTGGGCCCATGGGCTTCCATTTGGGTACGGTGACAGAGGCAGGTTTGTTTCAGTGCTGGCCTTTCTTTCTATTAGACCTTGGGACGCTGGTGTCCTGCCAGCCCCCGGGCTACCCTGGAGCGTGAGACACTGAGTCAAGTTCACCTTCCTCAATGTCGACACCCTAGTCTCTCCCCAAATACAAGTCGGCACATTGCCCGCTTTCTTCCAACAAGCTCTCTGCTCTCTCCCTCTAGCCCTATTTTTGAGGAAGACACACCCTCTGTTATGGAAATCGAAGTGGAAGAGCTTGACAAGTGGATGAACAGCATGAACCGAAGTGGTACGTGGTGACCCCAGGCTGCATTTTCTTTCCTCTCTGGTAACAGAAGGCTGCCATTGCACTATAAAGGCTCAGTAAATCCTGGAGTGAGATGGAGCCCAAGCTCAAGTTGGAACTGGCAATGCAGATAATAAACTTGGGTCTGATGGCTCTTACTCAGTTTCATTAATTATTCCATCAATTGTGTCCACTTATTTTTTATTTCTGTACAAGTTGTTGAAATGATCGTTTTCAAGCAGAAAATGGCCTTTTTCAAGCAGAAAACGGTCTTTTCCTCAAAAATGAAGAAGTCTCTGAGACCAAATTTCTGAAAAAAGCCTCTGGCATTACCTTATATATTATAGAATTTAGAGACTTATAATTTTAAACTGTATATGGATATAAAACTTTATTTAATGTAGTTTACATAGATCTGTGCTGTCCTGTATAATAGGTACTAGTCAAATGTGGCTATTTAAATTAAAATTAAATAAAATTAACAATTTAGTTTTAGTATCTGCATTCTGAGTGCTTAGCAGCCAACGGCTGCTGTGCTGGACAGTGTAAATCTAGAAATTTCCATCACTGTAAAAAGTTATTTTGGACATTGCTTTTATAGGTGATAATACAAGTATCCCCTTATAACAACTTCTCGTTGATATCTAGCAGTAATCAATAATTGGTCTTTAAAATGATGACAGCTGTTTTTTCTTTTTTTATTCTTCTAAAAAAATAGATAAATAAATTGGCCTGGCGCAGTGCCTCACACCTGTAATCCCAGCACTTTGGGAGGCTGAGGTGGGAGGATTGCTTGAGGTCAAGAGTTCACGACCAGCCTGTCCAGTAAAGCAAGACCCTGTCTTTACCCCCCCAAATACATATATTTTTAATGCTTGAATTAAATTAATAAAATCCACTATCATATTATCATATCATTTGTATTTTTACCGGTTATCTTTTTTTAAAAAAAGTACCCTGGATTCCGTCAGAGAACTATTGCAATAGTTCTCAGATTTAGAGATTTGTTATTAGAGTTATTGTTACCAGAGGGTTATCAAGATAAGCTTTCGAAAGAGTTAGAACCACTCAACTAACTTGTACCATTTCTAAGAGATTTTCATACTGAGAGAGGAATGGCTTTAAGGCATTTGTGGATAGGATGGGCCACTGAGTCTCACTGAGGCTTCAAAGTCTCATTTTATTGTTTTTAGCTCATAAAAGGAATTCACATAATAGAATTTGGGGAAAAAGTTAGAGGAGGCAAACATTTCACCATCCCCAAAGGCAATCTCTTCTTACACTGTTGGTATGTTTCCTTTTGTGCCTGAGATTTTCTGTAATATAAAATCACAATCCCATCATATTAAACCAAAACACTGGAGAAGTCACTTCTGTCTGACAGCTAGAACTGAGTTATCATGACACATAGGGAACAGAGCCAAGGAATTTTCCCCCCTAAAAATACTGAGTGGTATCATAGAATAGGACCCTAGTGACTTTAAGAAAACTGGGTGGTTCCTCACCTTCCCTGCTTCTTTTCTGCTGTGCCATCTGACCTAGATCATCTGCAGAGAATGGGGACCTCAGGTGAGGCCATCTTGCTTCAGTGTGTGCCCTGAAACACAGATTCAAGTTTTTGGAGCACTGGGCGCTTCAGGGACTGAACACCCTAGCAGTGATGAACTGTGTCGTTCCCAGGGGCAGAGGCGCATGGAAGTTTTGTATCTGTGTTATGAGTGCTTTTTCCAGGTCAGGGGCCTCGCTATCATTAATCCTGTAACCGCTAGAACTCCCCGGTGAGGCCAGTTTTGCACAAGATCAGGGGAGCACGGGCCTCAGCTGCGTTAGTTCTGTGGATAGGAAATAGAATTTCAGTGACTAACAGTGAGTTTGCTTTTATTCTGTCCCAGCTGACTGTGAATGTTTACCTACTTTGAAAGAAGAGAAAGAGTCAAACCACAACCCAAGGTACTTCTCATTTCTCCTTCAGGTGATATGTGTATGGTGGGAAGGGTTTGGAAACCACAGTGGAGCCATTTTTACTTGCCTCCTCTGTGCCTATAAATTTATGTGACAGTTTGCATGGGGTGCATGTGTGTCCTATGGACAGATGGAAAGTAGAAAGCTACCAAGTCAATATGCTAGGGCTTTTATCTTTAGAAATACATTTGTATTGACATTTTTGTGCCCTTCTAAAGAGACATTGTGGAGTCGGCTTCCGCTCTAGTCATAAAACTTGCCAATTATAACAAACTGTGGGTTTGTTTACCAGGGATAAACAGATGTTTGGTAAGCAAAACAGATGGAGGAGGCAGTCTTAAAGTGGGTAACCGTAGACAAGAGTGATGAAGATGAACATTTTTAAACAAACAAACAAATGGAAGAAAAAAAAAACCCAGCCCACCTGGATTAGATTGTCGTGTGAGAGAAATTAAATGAGAATTTAAAAAAAAATACTTCATTTCACCACTAGGTGGCTCTGCTTGATAGAAAATTTGAGTGCCTTGGGGTTTGGGTATAGTGTAGTGTGCAGTCTCACTACCTTTTGTGAAGATAGAAATGACCATGTTTGGGGTGTTTTTGATCAGAGAATTGTGTGGTCTTGACATAGGAAGTGCTCGCAGGAAACAGGGTTGATGACTCAGCGGGTCAGCGATTTGCTCTGCAGAGCTCCGCAGCGATCTGGGGGGTACCAAATTGCAGGTAGGGATCACCCATAGATGGCAGGAGGACAGAGAACTTGAACCTGCGCTTGAGATCTTGAAATGGTGGTGGAGTAAACCTTCAGGGCAGGTATACATGCTCTCCCTCCGTGTTCTGTGGAGGTCAGGTGCCAGTCATCTTCAATGCTTTCAGAGTGCAGTCACATGTCGTTGGGCAGTCCCTGAGGCCCCGGCACCGCAAAGCAAGACAGATTGTTAGGCAGTGATGAGGGCAATCAGATGTTTGTCGTTTTTCTGCATCTTCCCTCTAACCCTTGCCTAAGAGTTCACCACCCGGTATCTCTCTCCACATCAGGCCACCACAGTGTTACTCAGGCAGACCTCCACTTGAATACCAAAGTCACACAAATTGTGAATTTGAGCCAGTGTTACCACCCTAAGTATTTGTAGGTTAATACTCATTGCTGGCTCAGAGAATATACTATCCTACTTAAAAGAGATTCCAAGGCCCGGTGCAGTGACTCAGGCCTATAATCCCAGCACTTTGGGAAACCGAGGCGAGAGAATTGCCTGAGCTCAGTGCTTCCGGACCAGCCTGGGCAACTTGGTGAGACCTCATCTCTACAATAAATGAAAAAATAAGCCGGGCATGGTAGCACATGCCTGTAGTTCCAACTACTTGGAAGGTTGAGGTGGAAGGATCACCTGAGCCCAGCAGGTCGAGGCTGTGGTGGCTGTGAGAGTGCCACTGCACTCCAGCCTGGGCGACAGACTGAGATTTCAACCAAAAAAATAAAATAAAATAAAAAATAAAAGAGGTTCCAACTTTTAACAAGCAAGTGAAAGGGGGAAAAATGCTAGGTGGAAAATTGCAAAGGAATATTACCTTACCTAAAAATGAGCCACTATGTAAGTCCAGGATAGGGCTCAGATCACCCCCCAAACCCCATACACATCTTATTCCCGCACTGCTGGTAAGCACTGTCAAATGATGGGGAATGTCAGTGATTTTTTTCATACCTGCACCTTGCTCTTTGAAATTGTTGCCACCATGGAAGAAGAGATTAACACTACAGAATTGCATGGTGGTGAAAACTTCTTACGCATGCAATTTTTGGAATATTGAGAAAATGAGCTACAAGGCAAAAAGCCTCAACCTAGTTGGAAAGTTGCTTTATGCTAAGTTATTGTTCCTAGAGGGACTGTCTATATTCCTCTGTGGGTCACTGGATCACTGTCAGGCCTGGGCCCCATTCCCTCTCTGTGGATTCAACTCCAGTATTCTAGAACCAAGAGTGGTATGGCCCAGATCTTTGTGCCACAAAGCACTTTCTGGTTATTTCAAAGGGTGTTATGACATTGCCAAGCAAAGTTAATTTTTATTCACTTAATACAAAGCACTTAGAACAAAAGTCCTGCACAAAGTAAGCTCTCATAGTGACTCAAACCTATAATCCAAGCACTTTGGGAGGCTGGGGCGAGAGGACTGCCTGAATCCAGGGGCTTGAGATCAGCCTGGGCAACCGGTAAGACCTCATCTCTACAATAAATCAAAAAATTAGCTGGGTGTGGTGGTGCATGCCTGTAGTTCCAGCTATTTGGAAGGCTGAGGCAGAAGGACCACCTGAGCCCAGCAGGTCGAGGCTGCAGCAGCCGTGAGTGTAGTACTGCACTCCAACCTGGACAACAGAGTGAGACTCCAGCTCAAAACAAACACTCAATAAGTATTAACCATTATTATTGTAATTCTTAGTAAATTAAAACTGCCTTTTGGGCTAGTGAGCCTGTGTCTGAAGGCCCAGATGTGTCAGTATTAGGAGGCGGGGCATTACTTTTGCGCTGGTTCCTCTGGTGATTCGTCTCTGAACCTGTCAATCCTGAGAAATCAGGAACTTGTTTGCTCTCCTAGGAGTCTTCCACCTCTCCTCTGTCACCAATAGAGGACCGTGGATCTTGGTGATTTCAGGATAGTCTTATCAGTGTAGATTTTTTGAAAGGGTGTTAGCTCCTTATAGTTTGAATAACCTTTTCGTTTTTGTCACAGTTTTGTTTACATTTCTTTTTTGCTAATGTATAAATTAAATTGATAATCAGTAAAATGTTTACTTTGAATATCTAATCTGAGCCGGACTTGGTAGCTCACGCCTATAATCTCAGTAGTTTGGTAGACTGAGGCGGCGGGAGGATAGCTTGAGCCCAGGAGTTCAAGACCAACCTAGGCAACATAGCAAGACCTCATTCTCTAAAAAAAAAAAAAAAATCAAAAAATTAGCCAGGTGTGATGGCATACACAAGTAGTCCCAGCTACTTGGGAGGCTGAGGCAGGATTGCCTGAGGTCAAGGCTAAAGTGAGCCGTGATTGTACCACTGCACTCCAACACTCCAGCCTGGGCAACAGAGTGAGACTCCAACTCAAAAAAAAAAGAAGGAGAAGAAGAAGAAAAGAAGAATATTTAACCTGGGACAGAAATACGACTTTTTTTTTTTCTTCTCTCCAAAAGCCTGTGGATTGTTAGAGATACAGGTGGAAAGTGCCTGAGTCACTGGACTTTAGAAACCAGTTTCCAGTCCTGCTTTGAATGCGTGTTTGTTCTTTAGACTGAAACAAGTCATTTTAGCTCTCTGGGCTTCAGTTTCCTCATCTTGAAAAATGGAAATAAGAGCACCTGTCCTTCTAGTTTCACAGGATCTGGTGAGAGAATCCGACCACCATGAAAGTTTTAAAGCACCATGCAAATAAGACTAATTACATTTACACAGTGGTGATAGTTCTCTCCCCTCCCCCACTGACTTTTTTTACAAAGAAATTTTTTAAAGCCAGGTACAGTGGCTCAAGCCTGTAATTCCAGCACTTTGGGAGGTAGAGGCGAGAGGATTGCCTGAGTCCAGGGGTTCGAGATCAGCCAGAGCAACTTGGCGAGACCTCGTCTTTACCGTAAATCAAAAAATAAGCCAGGTGTGGTGGTGTGCATATAGTACCAGCTACTTGGAAGACTGAGGTGGAAGGATCATCTGAGCCCAGCAGGTCAAGGCTGCATGCCACTGCACTCCAGCCTGGGCGACAGAGTGAGAACCTGACTCAAAAAATTTTTTTTGAGTTGGAGTCTCACTCTGTCGCCCAGGCTGGAATGCAGTGGCTGCTCCAGGCCACCGCC